AGGGAGGGAGGGAGGGAGGAAGGAAGGAAGGAAGGAAGGAAGGAAGGAAGTTAAAGGGATCCATGTAGTCAGCTGACCATCCCTATAGTACATCTCTGATTTTACATGGAACTTAAAGCTAGCAGGGGTTGAGATAAGAGTTTCATGGGATAATAACAGCATATTGACCACTGAGGTTCCCTGCTAGTAGTTTCCAAAGTAATTTCCAAATGCAATAGTGCAGAATATAAATGAAAACCTTGAAGAAAAGGCACAAGGAGTGGGAGGATTGCAAGGTTGCAGGAGCCTAATTAACACTGCTTTAGCAGTCAGTATATTCATCAACTTTACATAATGCCTTAAGCGCCGTTCAAGAGACCCATTGCAAGTCTTTTCCATGAGGAAATTTTAGGAAAGTAGCTACATCTGATTGAAGGTTAAGAAGAAAATGGATAGGTTGGATAATAGTTGCTGGATTAAAAAACAAACAAATCTTTATAAAATGTGAAAATTCAGGGAGGAAAAGGTAGCATCAGACAAAACTCCTTGTGAGTCAGGAGTCTAACTCAAAAGATTTTTGAAGAAGCTCTGAGTACTTCTGCACTGCTTAATAACTTAATTAAGATAACTCCAGTCTTCTCTCCTCCAAAATGAAGTGGTCCTGCAAAAAATTTCTTGATTTTTTTAAAAAATAATTTTAAAAAGAAAAGCTGCAGCCCAGTACAGAAATAGATCTTGGAAATAATAACACATTTTTCCCTTGGTGACTAATTAAATTATCTTTGAAGGTATACCGGTACCGGGTCCCCCTTGCCCACTTCTCATGAGCATTTCTGTTAAAATTAAGATCAAGCAAAGGACAAATGCCTCCAAGATAGTAAAGGTTCAAGATCCTTATTGCTTTTGTCACTCTTCCCACAGTCACCTTTATTGTAGTTAAGGGCTAGCTATGTTGCAACAACCCTGCCATAAAGCTAAAATGTAATATAGCAGTTTAACAGCATACAAAGGATTGTCCAGGATCACACATTGCAGCTTCTAGGAAATTTGAAATAATAACCAAAAACACCCAGAATATCCTGAGGAATGAACGGTGATTCCTATAAAAGCATAATTTGGGCCAAATCTTTTATCATTTTCACTATTTCAAGATGATTAACACAAGATATGATAAAAATCTGATCTTACTGAAATGTAGCTTTGTCTCCTATGAAGTGCTTCCATAAACCATATCTGGAGTTAAATGTATTTGTTGAAATATAACAAACTGCCTCTTTATTTGCTTCAGTTATAAACCTAAAATCATTTGAGGTCTGCCTTTGCTTCCTTGCTTCATGTACTGTTATAATAATTAAAAATGTGTAGGTGATTTTAACTATAAAGTCCAAATCTTGAGGACCCAAGCCCCGTGAGAGGGGAAAGAGCATGTAATTACTGCTTTGCTAAGAAACTTCAAGACCAGGGGTATCCAACCTTGGCAACTTTAAGACTAGAAGACTTCAACTCCCAGAATTCCCCAGCCAGAATTCTGGGACTTGAAGTCCATTAGTGTTAAAGTTGGCAAGGCTGGACATCCCTGCTCCAAGAGATGAACCGATCTAGATGGTATATAGAATCCATCTTCCCTTAAGCTCTCAGATCAGAAAGATCTGAAAGATGTTGCATTATGCTGTGCTAGGAGACACAGGTTTTACATGATTTTGGGAGGCTGGTGGTAGAATTTCTCTATATTGACAGAGTATAATCTATGTGAAATTTTTCAATTACATTGGTTCTCAATAAAGCAGCACATGAACAACTTCATCCTTAATAGAAATAATCAGACATAATATAACCAGATGTTATTCCGTGAGGTTCAAACTTTCTACTGCATAATGGCAGATCTATGACATGCATATCAAAGGTGACATGTCGTGACAATTTGATGACAGGACAGCATTCACCAACACCCAACAACAATTTTAAAAAAGGGAAAGTACCAAGCAGAATTCGATTGAAAATAGGTATGTGTTATAAAATAGAGGTTAGAAAATGAATGTTATAACTGTAAAGATGAAACTTAAATTTTTAAATAAGATTTGAAAAAAGATACAAAGGTGTTATACTCCAGTCTAGTAATTACAGGGGAAAATTTGTTTTATGAGAAAAGATAATATGAAATTGTAAAGAGGACAGACGAAAAGTATAAAAACATTGATTAGAAAGATTTTAAAAATTAGAAAAAGATTTGTAATTGAATTAAGAAAGGAATGAGATAATTTAAAATAAGGCTACAGGAAGTAAAGAAAGGGAAAAGCTACTGAAAAAATTGTGAAAATAGTTATAAGATATGGATTAGAATGTATAAGATAAATATGTATTGAGTTTATGTCTCTATGGAGAAGTGATAACCCAGGGCCACGCTGTTCTCAAGAAAAGATATTTTATTTGTATTTGTATGTTTTGTGAAAACTTAAATAAAACTTTTATTTAAAAAAAAATTAAAAAGCACACCTTGAGATTTTTGGAGGCTATGGAATCTGCAAGAGAATGGGATGTGTTCTCACGCAGCCTTTGGAAGTCACAAGAGGGCTGTGCTTTTGTGCAGCCTCCGGAGCCTCCCAAAACCACACAAGAACAAGGTGTGCTTTTGCATGGTGTTCGGAGACTGCAGAGGCTATGAAAGAACATTTTCTGAAGCTGCTTCAAGAACAAAATCCACATGCACCCCAGAGCATCCTCAGGCAGGCCAAAAGAGCCTATCAAACAGAAAGAGAACACTGCCTGAAGTGTTAGTCAACACATGGTAGATCCAGGGGAGTGTTGGGCTGTGGAGGCAATTTTGTCTTGGAGAACAGCCCAGGGCGGCCTCTCTTAAGTGGCAGCTGTGGCACTAGGACTGAAGTTGAGGGCCAAGCCTTAACTTCAGGCCCAGCCTCAGCACTGTCTCCGATGTTCATCTCTTGGAGCAGGAATGTCCTATCTTGGCAACTTTCAGACTTTTGGTCTTCAGCTCCCAGATTTGTTCAGAGTGGCCTAGATAGAACATAGAATAACAGAGTTGGAAGGGACCTTGGAGGTCTTCTAGTCCAAAGCCCTGCTGAAGCAGGACACCCTATACCCAATAATAAGTCTTTATTGATTAGCCCTTGGGCCATATCAAAGCACAATGTTCAGCAACAATTTGTTACTAAAATTTAATAAAAGCAACTCAAAATGAAATTTGATAAAATACTATTTAAAATGGAATCTAGACAAAATACGATTTAAGATGAAATAGTAATAAAATACACTCCAAAATAAAATTGTAATAATGTACAATAATTTACGATATAGATAAAACATAATAATATTATAATTTGGAGTCGCTCTTGCAATCTACCCCAATCAATCCCACATATGCAGATCTTAACCGAATCATTTTGTTTAAATACTGTGCTACTTTAAATGTTATTTTCAAGTTCTGGCCGGACATAAGGTAAGTTATTTTGATATGGGTATCCCAATGGGTCATTCGTCTGATATATAGACCAAGATACCTGTCTCTCATCCTACCCTATACCATTTCAGGCAAGTGGCTGTCCAGCCTACTTTTGAAGCTTCCAGTGATGGAGCACCCACAACTTCTGAAGGCAAGCTGTTCCGTTGGTTGATTGCTCTCACCATTTGAAATCTCTTAGTTCTAGGTTGCTTCTCTCAATTAGTTTCCAACCATTGTTTCTTGTCTTGCCTTTTGGTACTTTGGAAAATATTTTGACCCCCCTCATCTACGTAGGAGCCCCTCAAATATTGGAACAATGCTATCATGTCTCCCCTACTCCTTTTAAAAAAAAATCAGACTAGACATATCCAATTCCTGTAACCGTTCTTTGTATGTTTAGTCCCCAATCCCCTAATCATTCTTGTTGCTCTTCTATGTATTCTTTCCAGAGTCTCAATATATCTTTTACATTGTTGGGAGAGAGATAAACAATTATTTCACTTTTGGTCTGGGACGATGGTAGTATGGTATGCCAGGAGAGTCAAGCTACGTAGGTATTTTCTCAATTTTTGATAAGGTGAGCCCAAAGTTTGCCGTCACTTCTCTACTG